TTTGAAATATTTTAGTCTATTTTTGATTATATCAATTGGATGTAAATCAGACGTCAATTGGCTATAAATAAAATAGGTCAAATTTTAGCCTATTTTTGATATATACCAATCAGTTATAAATAAGATAGGTCAAATTTTAGCCAATTCTTGACCAATTTCTAGTGTATACCAATTGGTTAAGCTAATTTTTTGATAATTTGCTAAATTTAGGCTGATTTTAGGCCAATTTTTTGCATGTCTGATTTTTTTGATTTTGATCAGTGTATGTATTTATTGTAGCAACTGCAGATAAACTAGATTAAAGAAGTTTATCAAAGTTATTACAAATTTGTCAAAAAAACGAATTTAAAGCTCAATGAATTAACAAAAAATCAAAATAAGTTAAAAGGTATGATTAAAGAACAAACCATCCAAATTTCTGAACTTTTGAAAAAATTTGGAGATATTGAAACTGAAAAAGATAGCAAATTTAGTAAAGAAAAAGGAAAAAAGAAAATTGACAAGTCGAAACCTTTTTATCACGTAACTATATATTTCTTATTAATTCTTTTATTTTTACATTCTTTATTTATATTTATTTGTATTATGGTAGGATATCATTAAACAATTTTTAACTAAGTTATTTCACGAACATAATCAACAGATTATGGATAAAGAACTCAAAATTTGATTTAAATCTTTTCTGGAAAGCAATGATTATTGTAATAACCAACTCATAAAGCTAGAAGAAAAAGGCATTACATTCAATGAATTCTGAAAAGAAAAAATTTATTCTTCTGTTGGTATTTTAATTTATTACTATTATTCATCAATTAACAAATATGATGTGTATTATTTAATAAGTTAATGGCGTATACTATCAAAATGTTTAGTTACTTACCTCAAATTAATCAAAGAAAGGTTATTATATGTGACGTATTAAGAAAGCGCTGTGAAATACATTTGGAATCAATAGGATAAAACTGTTTGGAGATAATTATACTAAATCATAAATAAAGGAATAAAAGGAACTCGAGAACATACAAAAAGTCCATAAAGATCTGTATACTCTGAATGATCTGAACGATTCAGATTCAGACACCTATATTATACTAATAATTAAATCAGTTTTTTCATCAGAAAACAAATATACAGTAAAAAACGGCATTTGGGTACAGTCTGTATTAGAGACGATATTTAACGAAAAATACCTCTCGACGAAAATTGATACAAAAGTTCTTGATTCATAGATCAAAACATTAGTTGATAAAGAATATACTGTAATTATTATATCTAGGCTTATTCGTTTCTTTATCGTGTCATTAAAATACTTTATTTTTATTTAGGTTAACAACGCTGATAAAGAAGCATTTTATTCTCCTCTAGATCAACATATTGAAGAGGATGGTGATATAGATGATGTAGTGAATGATGTATTAATGACTAATAAAGATGGACAGCCAGAAAATTCTGATGATGATAATCTTGTAATGGCCGATTGATTTTTCAAAATGGTTTGTGAATCATTATTTTAACATGATACAAAGAACATTAATTTCTCATTTCATAATTATTCTAAATAATATGACAGATCATAAAAGTAGATTACTGAACATGCTAAATCTAAACAACGTTAAAATTCTCAATATTAATGTTTAGATAATATTTTTTATGATAATTCAATAAATCAATTACATCAGATTGCGAAAATATTACACTATTAATAAACTATTAGTAAAAAAACTACTATTTGAAGCACCATTGCTATAATGTATTTTAGTGTTGATAAATGCATTAACAAACAATAATTTGCATATTTTTCAACTAGCATTAATTGACTATACATTGATTTACATATAAAATAATGTTGATATATACGTTTTTAAATGTGTTGGTTGACATTGAGTCTGTTTTTCAACGCTTTTTGCCGTTTTTCAATGCATGGCATTGATCAATGTCATCAAACGCCTATCCAAAACTTACTGATGTTAAATTATATGTATAGGCTAATCATACATTAATCCATTTTTAGGATAAAGTCATAGGAATTAGCAGTATGTAATCTGACATAGGTAATTTATCATTTACTGTTTTTACAGATTTTGATCTATGATTAATAATTTTTATTCAGATTTTTTTTTACAATAGGGGTATATTAGCTAATCTAGATAATAAACGGTAGATATACAATTACTTTATTGTATAAATTTATAGTGTAACAGGATTGGATTGATGAACGTGACGCAGTATATTGCAGATATAAATATCAGATATATCAGACATATTTGATATATTTGATATATTTGATATACTAGACATATTAGACATAGCTGACATATTAGATATATTAGTTATATCTCTTTATATAATATATTTTATATAAATAGGTAACTTGTTAATTTATGTAAAGGGGGAAAAGATAGCTTGA